AGAGCCCAAATGAGTAGCGTTTTTTTGGGTGGTTAAACCCAGTAAGATAATATTCCTTATATAAAATATTATACCCCAAAAGGAGGATATAATCTTACTCTATATTGGGTACCATAGTACCCCCACATAAAATACTACTCAGATGGTCTTTCGGATTAAGAACAGCAGGGCCATTGCCGGGAAATATCTCCAAGTTCAGTTGAACCCTGTATATGCTGATGGCTCATCCAGGATGGGAAGGATCTCCACCACAAACAAAACTGCTCGGCATTCAACCTTTTGTCAGGAAACTGAAAACAATCGGTAACTAATCCCACCTGGCCCTTATAATGAGTCCAGTTTCAAAGACGTCCCAATGACTGTCTCTGTATGATACCGTGCTCTCTGCCCGAATTTGGGGCATGCTGGGAAAGGACCATGAACACGCCTGGGAGCAAAGTATCCAGGGCATAAGCCTCTTTGAATGGACCACGGACCACCCAAGACAGGTCCTCCTCCCAAGGAGGAGGCTGCAAGCAAATCAGCACAATATAGCCCCCTACTCCTGCATCCCAAGCCCTCAACCCTGCTCCCCTTACCTCAAACCTCAACCTGACTCCCTAAGCCTCAAAAACTACTCCCAAAACCCTAAACTCTGAACCCCTGCCCCTACTCCCTAAACCCCCCACCAAACTCCTTAAGCCCCAAGCCCAAAACATTGAACCCCAAACCCTCAAAAGATTTTAAGGCCCTCGTGACTCGTGCCAGTCTTAACCCCCGCCTCGTGCTGGGAAGAGACCAGTAGGTGCTCGTCGCTGGCGAAGCCAGTGCTGTCCTGGCTTGAGTTCTTCTTGCTTTCAAGTTTATCGTCATATCATGATTAACATTATGTTGTACGGTATTGATAACAACAGAAAGGCTCATGGTCGGTATGCTGACACCCGTTCAGCATCTATCAGAAATTGCGGCTGTTTGGCTTGGTAAGAAAGACGACTAGTTGGCAGTATCAAAGGAATGTGTATTCTGTGTGGCAGCACTAGTTTACAGCTGGAATCGTGCTCTGCTGGTAGCAAATACCATCAACGCACCTTGAATTTGCACCCTGTTCAAAGCTAAAACACCAAGGTCCTCAGAGCCTCAGTGCTCTGCATACCTGCCTGCTTCCCCGCGCACGGATAGGCTATGATAGGCTTTCCTTTAGCCATGGGCACCCGAACCCACATGAAGGGAAGGGAGGGCGCACCTCGAGAGCATGCATGGCCACATCCCACTTCAGGAGGAATCTATACCTGAAGGACAAGCTGGGCTTCTGAGAAGCAATGGAGGGCGGGAAATTTCTTGAATTCATGTATCAGGACGAATAGAAGCTAGACCTGCTTTGTCATTGCTTGCCCTTGTTTCCGTACAAGTACATAACCTTTCAAATTTATTGGCAATTTCTGTTCGTGGCTTACATATGCGAGAACACGTCAACAACATTCAAGGAAAAGTCTTCATTCACGGTTCGCATATCCACACTTACCACACTTCCCTCTACGTAAACCATCCCAAACCACGATATTGCTGAATCCTGCTTGGAGGGTCGGGGTGACTTGGTGACTTAGAGAGTATACTACAGACCGCATGCGAAATTAACAGACACAGCTATTACTAAGCCCTCATGACCCTGAACCGCACATCCCAAATATTATTGGCATTGTCTTCTCCATTCCTCCATAATTGTACTTGCTAAGTCACCATAAAAGCCTAAACGCGCTCATTTCAGCGCAGGACGCCTGATGCAGTTCCTAATCCTTCTTGCAGATACCTCCGATAAAGGACCCCTCATTTTCGGAAACATGGAATCCCTATAAGCAAATGCATCATCCCAGTTTCCATTTCATGTTCCATGTTCTTTCCCTTTTGTTTCTCCATGCTTGGGGGTAACATCCCGATGTATGCATATATAACCCAACATATCCTTCATGTGCCCATATAGTGTGTATATATATATATATATCTCTCTCTCTCTCTCTCTTCTTTGTCTCACTGCTCTACCCCCCCCCCCCCGGAAGGGGCTGGGGCAAGGCCCCAAGCAGGATGTCTGAGCGGGCACATATCTCTCTCTCTCTCTCTCTTTCTCTCTCTCTCGCTCTTTCTCTCTAAGTTCAGCGTGGGAACCGAAGGAGCCCGCTGTCTGCCAAGTCGAAACGTCTTCGGCAGTGGGCATAGGACCACTTGTTCCCTGCGCCCCGCTGCTTGGGAAACGAAGGCTGAGGCTGAGAGTTGAGCATTTAGGGATTTGGGGTTTAAGGTTAAGGGCGGTCAGGGTCTAGGGTTTAGGGTCAAGGGCTTCGGGGTTAGGAGCTGGGTTTCGGGTTTGGGATGTAGGGTTGGGGCCAAGTAAGACAAACCCATAGACTCATAGACCCTGGAATTTTGGTGGGATGCAATGTGAACTTGGGGAAGGCTATTGGAAAGCGTGTCCATGAGTCAAAAAACGCATGAACAACCTTTCCAACGCTTTGCATGGGCTCTTCCTTCAGCTTTTTCACTCCCCATGCGTCATCACCGCGGCCTTCGGAAAGATTGGGGTACAACTATTGCAGCAAGATGCTTAGCACATTGTGGCCATGATAATCCTGATGTGTGCGCTGCAAGCCTCTGGTGTCATGCATCCAAAAACTATTTCTCGATGTCTTTCGCAGTGTAGCGTGTCTTTGCATTCTTGTCCTGAAGATCATAAGCACGCTCTAACAGGAACACGTAGGCGAACTGGGGTCCTTCAGGCTTTCTGACGGTCATAAATATGCCTAGCATTGCCATGCTGCCATAAAAACTCGTACTTGAACTTATACCCCAGCCTCGACGAAGGGTTTGACCACACAGCGTCCTAAGGCCCGAGCCCCCGAACTCTAAATCCTTTTATATACCCCAATAATGGAGAATCAAATGGAAAAGAAAATGGAAAATGAAATGGAAACTAGGGAATATATAGGGTAATATTAGCTTTTTTTAAGAGAATATCAACTCCAACGCCCTGGACATGGAAGTCCACTTGCTGAATAACATGAAGAGGACAGTCGTATGCTAAAACCTACATTTTAGGGTCTCCGAACCTTGACAGGTACCCGTACTCCTCCCATAACTTTTACTATTGCGTTGCGGGTAAGTCTATGTGTTACTGTCGCTCTTACTCTTTACTATTGTTATTTCTACTCTCACTATTGCATACTATGTACCTAAAGTACTCTACTACTCTCACTATTGAACCCAATCGCTCCAGCTTGCCAACATTGTGCCTTCTCGCGGGAAGTCCACCCACTCCGGGTGGCCAAACTCATTGCCTCACACCAAGCACAGGTCACCAGAAGGGGCCGGGTTTTGAATACTCAGGCCTCCTATCACAAGAGTTTATAGGGATGGTATAGGGTAGATGTATATAGGGAGTTTGGAGTAGAAGCCAGAATAACTACCAATTATGGCGAATCAAATGGAAAAGGCAAGGAAAAACAAGACGGAAACGGAGTTTAAGGTTTCTTTTCTCAAGAAGCCTGAGTACTTACTGATAGCCTGTAAGGAGCACATGGCAGCCCCAGCTAGGAAAGAGCAAGAGACAACGGCGATCCCTACATACGGATACCCACAAGACGAAACGTTGTTCTAACTAAATATGGGCCCTCACGGTACTTGCATTTAGGGGGAGGGACTCTGGAAGATTCTATGATTCAGACCGCTTCATGCACTGGCAGCAATTTCAACCTTAGATGTAATCCAGCTTAGACTTAGACCTGTAACAAACATGTAAGAGTCAACAATTCCTTGGGCTTATACTTCTATAAAAATCACATTGGGAATTGGGGGTTTTAGCCATCCGAGGTCTGTGATGTTTGCGCTTTGGGAGCTGCCGGGCCGCCATTCAAGGATCTTAGCTGCTTTTCATGCTGTTACGTTACAATAGCTTCCATAAATGAGGGGACCCCAATATAGTCCCCAATATGATTCCTTAGTATGGGAACCCCCAAAATGGTACCCCCAATTTTTTGAAACCGTATGCAAAAGAAAGCTGGCGCGGCCGAAGCTCAGCATGGATGAGGGTACCATAATACCATGGGCCGAGGGATGGGTAGGAGAAGCTTGCGAGGAGACAAACAAAGCCCAACAGAACAGGAGGGAAGAGGCTCAATGTAAGGTTCTATTGTGTCTGTTACACAATCCTTCTCGCGAAAGTCTTACTGGAAAGACTGTCATTTTGTGTGTCCGGGTTCGTGCAGCGTGCTCAACGGAACATACCAGCAAATCTCGAACATGACACTCGTTTTCATCCAGGGCTGTGGAGCAACCAAGCCACAAAGACTTCACCCGTGCTTCATGAGGTTATATGGGGATTATGTGGGGGTTACATAGGGGGCTATTTAGGGATTGTGCAGGGCAGGGGGATGAACATTGACAACCTGTTAGAATCAACTACGCCTAAAATCACCAGAAAATGGCAAGCTCCCTGCTACGCACAAGTCAAAACGCACCAAACAGAACGGACTCTTGCTTCTTAGAGCATTGCCAAGGTCGCGGCCCATGAAGTTCAAGTAGCCTGGCAGAGGCCCGGTAGCCCCCTAGCCCTAAAGGTTCCAATCATCAACAAATTGGTAGCAGGCGCCATTTAGGTTTTAGGAAATATATGACATATAGACTTGGAACCTTAGGTTAGGGGCATGGGGTTTACGACAAGCCTAGGTCCCTGGGGAGTTCGCCATGGCAAGAAAACCTGGAAACTTAGCACATAGAAAGAGTGGTGGTTACGCTAAAGAGGGCTGCGGAGGAATTCTTGGACGGATACCTCGACTGAGTTCTTCCTGGGATGTGGAGCTTTTGTGGGGACAGCAAGAGTATCCTCTATGCCCCATGCTTTGATCCCCAGCATGTCAAGAGTCTGAATGAGAACATGGCCATATATGGTGAAGCTTTGCAGCGTTTGTATTTAAATGGAAGTTTGAACTGTAGCTGTGTGCAGGAACCGTGCCCAGCAGCCTCTTTTGTTGTTCAAAGCGAGGATGGTAGCAGGGGAACTCTTGTGTACCCCCAGATGAGGACAATCTAGGTCGGGCTCCCACACGAATCGGGACCACCAAGGATAAGGGAATTTGTTTATGAGGTCGCCTATATGTTTTGCTATTATACCGTTGCTATTGGTTGGAGCCAAGTTGGGCCTAAGCCAAATGCAAAAAGACAACGAGCGCTCGTGCTTGCAGGGTCAGGGGGATTTACTAAGTAGGTTCATACACCCTATAACCCATATGTCTGCAAGTTCGCTCGACGTTGTATAGGTGCTCGTAGGCAGGTAGCTTGATTTCGTTGGCACTGCTATGTCTGTCACTAGTAACACCCTATAACCCATACAGTAACCCTAGTGATCCCCACTTTTTACTTACTTACTAAGCTCCCAAGTGGTCAGTGTCGAACTGAGGATGACAGGCTCTCTGTACCAGGCTTCAGGTATCCCTTCAAATAAATGAACCGAATAAGGTTATATTCCTTGTATAAAAGCCATACGTACCCAATAGGAGGATATGGTCTTACTCTGTAGTGGAGGCTATAGCGGCTATAGCATGCCCATGCAAGATATCATTCAGTGGCCAGAGCAGCTAGACCTGCTGTCCTACACATTAAACACTGCCTGAAGCCCTAAATTCTATAGGCCTTCTCCACCGAGTCCGATGGTCAGCAGTCTTATGATCCTGAGCTGTGGATGGATCTTGGGCTGCAGAAGGTGCATTATCCCAGAGCTTAGGCGGGTGAGCGCAGTGTGCATGCCCTGGCATCACACCGGCGGTCTGCCGCGGATGCATGTGTTCAAGCTCTAGCTCTGTCTCCCCAGCGTGGAATCTTCAGAATCTGAGGGTCGAAATTCTGTGTTTCGTAATACGGGCTACCTGATCGCCAGCCCTACAATGAGCACGCTATGTCTATGACGGTTATTGTATGGCCTCAGCAGCTCGAGGGTTAGGCAGCATCCTCATTTCTAAGCACACTCGGTTCTGCGCTCCCTTCCCTCGGCGCAGCAGAATTGGCTTGATATCAGGAGCATTCGAAGGTTGCTAACACAGCCATTCGATGCGCTTCTCACCCGGTGCCAGAATAAGTGCTTGCAATACCTTCCTAGAATCAAATGCGTTTAAAAACCCCAACGAAACAGAGATGCGGATCCTGGCCGGCTTTATGGAAGAGGACTCTGGGAACCAAATCGCGCATCTCTGTTTCTAATTGTTCCTGCTCCTGTATGTAGTCCTGGGTTGGGTAGACATTTGCAGCATAAAGTCCAAAAACGGCACCATTGCAGAGAGAAACCTGATTGTAGGGCAGTGCTCAAATCTGCGCCGGGTGACATATGCAAGGCCATGCCACGTTCGATCACCACGGTTCCCGGCGTGCCGTCGTCACCCATGCCTGTTCCAGGCTTCTAGGGTTGAAACCATGGGCCGCTAATAGTATTGGCCCTGGATTTGGGATCCTTGCAATTCCTTGTGCATCTGCTCTGGGGACTAACATTCTGGTATTGCGTATAGGTCTGCGGTCGGAGTCTGGGCTTTCTAGGAACAAAACTACAGGTCTTGACGTCCCTTCCACCTGGATACATGAGGGTGCCTACCACGCTCCCTACACGGTAGCGCTTGGAACTGCTTATGCGTGCGAAAAAACTTGATGACACCAAATTGAACTTCCACTTGGAAACATCTACCTTTCGTTCGAGATGCAGCCAAATGCTCATAGTCGCAAGTCATGGTTGAGGCTGAAAACACCATGAAAGGGCCGTTAAGGAAGAGCTGCTTGCTGTATCCACTCCAGACCCACATATGTCAAAACCTCCAACCATTTCACATCCAAAATCCAGAGCAGAAGCCGTGGCAGCAAACTCTAGCTCTGACCTGTGTACATCTCTGCATCCATGAGCCAGAAGGCGATGGTCCTCAGCGCTGGGGCGCGGAGTTTTGTGGTGAAAGCGTGCAGGCCTAAGGATTTCAGAGTCGCTGGAGTTGTTTGTTCGCGCTGAGGCTCTGGTCGACATAGCTTCCCCAGGCTGTTCATGAAGGTGTACTCGTGAGTTAGGGAGTGTATGGCTGCTGTTGGAAATTGTGTTGCCAGGGGTCCACGCTCATGCTCTTATTGGGGATTCAAACCCTAAACCCTAAACAGTAGCTTCCATTTTCTCTTCCATTATCCCCTATATAGCCACTATATAACCCCAATATCACCATAACCAAATCTCCTATATAAGCACTATATAACCCCAATATCACCATAACCTAGTGCCTGAGTTTTCTGGCCCCAAAAACCTATAAAATCAATTTGCAATAAGATTATATATACCCCATATTTAAGGTTAAAGGTTATCCACTCAGCTACTAAGATTAAGATCCTTTTTTCTGAATCAGGTCTCGGCGTTATTATATAAGAGCTACATACCAGTAGGGGTTAGAAAGGGGGCCAGCAAACGCCCCTAAATCCCAAAGCCTGAACTTTGTATTATATCACTCCTAAATCAGCCCAACCCTAGACCCTAAACCCTAAAACCCCCCTTTGTTATCTTAACCACGACAAGGCCGAGGGGCTTGTCGCCCACAATCGACTGATCATGGCTCTCCGCATACGCCTGGTCTCACAAAGAGTGTAGGGTTTACTGAATAGTAATAATGGAAAAGAAAATGGAAACTATCATTATAGTATTTAGGGTTTATAGGGTTTAGGGTGTAGGGTCAGGGGGACGTTTAAGTTGCTGGGGGGTAATTAGGGTTACTACATGGTTTTTAGGGGTTCTTAACCTGCTTACTATAGGCCCCACTGACCGTCCAAGTAAACCCAAAACCCAAACCCCAAATAGTAGTTTCCATTTTCGTTTCCATTATCCCTATATACCCCCGTATCCCCCTATGTAACCCCTGTGGGCTTTAGGGCTTCGGGGGATGGACAGGATCCTGAATAACCCCATGTACCGGCACCTCAGGATGCCCATGAAACAAGGACAAGGAGGTATGGCATATCTGAGGGTTTCCCGAAATTAGGGGTACCTTTTTGGGGGTCCCCATAATAATAATGACTATAATATTTTGGGGTCCATATTTGGGTCCCCTTATTTTGGGAAACTAATTACCATTTCGGGTCATGCGAAAATTTGTCCATAATTAATAGGACCGAAGAAGAGGCAAGTTGAAGTCCTCCGGGCTTTGGGGTTTACAGCAAAGGACCCACTCAAGACTTGCAAAGTGGCATGAGAGAGAAGTCACACCATTCCTACAAGGGGTAAATATATGGGGTTATATAGGGTAATCTCGGAATAATATTGGGGCTATATTGGTGGGTATATAGCAACAATGGAAAAGAAAATGGAAACTAATATTTGTTGAGGTGGCGCCTAAGGGCTCTTGACTGCCTGCAAGGTGCGATCGTCTTCTCGCGGCCCCTTCGTCGATTGCACATGGCCTTGCTAAGCTGGGTCGTGCAGCCACTTTCGGTCTTCTAGGTGTGATATGAGCCCTGGACTAAATTTGTAGTATATCCCTTAATCGGTCCGCCCCAAAACCCTATATAGTCCCCTATAGGTCCCCCCAACCTAAATTTAGTCCGTAGCTCATATGATGACCTAGGCTCTGGGATGCAGGAAGGCTTCATGAGGAGCAGGAGATAATGCCTAGGGTTTACCTAGACCCTCCAATGTAGTTCCTTTTTGGGTTTGGTATGGTTTTTGCTTAGGACTCTTATTAGGACTACCAAAAAGCTACTACATTGGAGGGTTTAGAAACTCCAGAAGGGCATCCAATGAGACCTACCACAATCCGTGACATGTTTAAATTAAAAAGAGTTTGCTAGAACGATCTAACAGCAGTTACGAGTTCTGCACAAAACCAAGACTCGTGAGATCCAATAGCTGTGTTAAAGGTCAGGGTCCTTCGTGTGCACCCTGCCACAGAGCATGGCCAGCTGAGGGCATGCAATCTGGTACATGGCTCGTCCAACCAAAATGTGGAACGAAAGGCAGCTCCCCTCTAGACCAATCGTGGAAAATCAAATGGCAACTCAAATGCAAAACTGAAGCGGAAACTCAGGGATCATAGAGATATAGAATATTGAGGGTTTATAGGAATCAACTGCTGAAGACCTTGCCGCCGTGCCGCGGACACGATGTGGTTCATGCCCCAGTTCTCGTCCTTGACGTCCTGTTAGCACATTACCCCCCACCCCCCAACCGCAATATTTTTGTTCGGACCTTTTCTCCAATAAGGGTTTAGGGATTAGGGTTTAAGGTCTAGAGTTTAGGGCTTAGGGCCCGCAATAATGGTTTAGGGGTTAGGGTTAGGTTGGCACTAGATAAAACTTCATACACAGGGGTTATAGGGGCATACTCAGCGTATTACGGGATTTCCGCAAAGCCTCAAGTCCTAGACCTTCCACTCCATACCATGAATCCCATGCCCGAACCCTTAGCCCCAGAGACTCAGGTAATGTAGACCCGTGATTCATACACCCCCTTCCCCGCTTAGGGACCCAAAACCTTAAACCCCATAATAGGGATCCTAATATTAAGGCCCTTAAGAAGGAGGGGGAATATCAATCACCGGTCTACATTAAGCCAAAACCTGCCGAGCACTTGCGTCCTTGAGTAGAGAGATCCACATGTCCTGAAGGCCGAGAAAAGGCTTCGCAATGCTGGGGCATACACATTCACATGAGCTATAATCTAAACTCCTAGCATCCGTTCAATAACCCCCAGAATACTCCCCTATATCATCCCCCTTTAGGAGTTCAGGCTATAGCTCACGTAGTCTGTTAGCAACCATTTCCCCATCCCGATGAAGGCGTGTGGCAGCAGGTACTTCATGGGTAATTGAAAGCGGGGTAACTACAACCCAAGTGTAGTGACTTCAGTGAGCCTCTCTAAGGGCTCCAAATTGGTGCGGTTTGTGATTGAGTGACCCCCATAACATCAGCTGCCGTGTGTCTGGAAGCGACATGGCCAAGCGGTAGTCGAAGCCGATGCCGCCTGCCAAGCGAATCTAACGGGCTTCCTAAAGAGTTTTTGGATGCCCGCTAGAGGGTTCAGGGATAGATAGTAGGGATCGCGCAAATGCCCAGAGCCCGGGGTACTCAGGGCTGGCGCGTAGGAGCTAATGAAGTGGCTGCGGACATGGGGCTTGCATAACAGAGTGCACGGGCATTCCACAGGGAGGCTAAATCATGCTATGCGACAGCTCCAAAGTATGGGTTCACTTATTGGGTCACTTTATGATGACCTAGGGCTCCAAAACACCCAAGAGGCCTTCAGCCACCGGCACACACAGGCCAGGCATTCCAGAGACGTCCTCTGGGCAAACATGCCAGGGTTTAGAGCTTCGGGCTTAGGGTTGCGTGTCATGTTGAAGAAGTAGCTTAGGGATCGGACTCGTTGAATATGGGGGGGGCTTCGTAAAACAACCCCTCGGCACTGATCCTCACAGATGGGCATGTGCTTGAGAATTCATTAGATCATCAGGCTTCATGGGGAGAAAGACGACCTTCCTACATCCCAACATGGCTCGCATGCTGCACTCTCGCACCGCTCAGTTCTCCTCAGCAATCAGCACTGCATTGGAGCGGACACCTCTGTGATTTGAAGCTTCGACTGCTCGGCGCACAGTAGCGGCCAGGAGTTATATAGGCCATAGTCTAAACTCCTAGTATCCCCTTAATAACCCCTATAGTAGGCCCCATATAACCCCCTTTATAACCCCCTTTAAGGAGTTTAGACTATAGCTCATATAGGCCTTTCTGTGCTTTCAGAACGCTCTTGAAGCTCCTTACGTCAAGCACACTTTCCTTCACTCAGTCTCATGTATGGAGATTGATATTCAGCAGGGGCTCTCCTATAATGAGAACCTTCAGCAACAGAAGGTGCGTGCAATTTAGCTGCAAGCTCCGACAGTTGCGTTACATCCCAGGACTTATGATCATCAACATGCCGCCTGAATGAAAAACGTGGTGTGTCTTGGTAACGTCGCGGGATTTCGTCAGGAGGGGCGACATAGTCTACATTCCCATGGCAGATGCGATCCAAGGCACTTCGAACAAGTTCACTGGCCAGCATGAGATAGACGACAGCATCTACATCGGTGGACATGCCGAAATACTCCTCGCGGTAGGCTTGGCAGATGAGAATCCAGGGCTCAGCAAACATCAGGCCTAGAATGAAAGCAGCAGCCAGACAGTCAGACATCTACTTGTAGGCAGGGATGCTAATTCAGCAAAAAGTTCGTGCCAACGCAAGTTGCTGCTGCCGCTTTTTGGATGGAAGAAGAATTGGTGCCTGCTGTGCTTGCCATATTGTTACGATCTCACCTATAAGAGCCCGCAAAGAGGGCCATCATTTTGCAGAAAGATGCCCGCATACTGCCCTTGCCCTTGCGACGCACTGAGGCTCCTCATAATTGCCGGTGAAGCCTCGCAAGTAAGGAGTTTTAGACAACGCCGATAGGAGGTAGGCTAGCAAGCACACAAGGAGCATGATGATGACTTTCTTGCTGCTCCTGCGTTCTGTTCCAAGTCTTCATCTCTTGTGGGAACGTCTGTGTCTTCGCAGTAAGGGGTGTCCCGTGACCTTCCCTGTTCTAAGGCGGTGTTGACACGAAAGCCACCCTGGACCCACGAAGCATGTAGACTGATTAATGGAAATGGTTGAGATTGTACTCTCGCTGGTGCTTCTTGATAAGCAAGAGAGGGAAACAGGGACAAAAGGGGCCTGGTACGGCCGAAGACTTACAAAGGTCAGATCCGACGAATCCCTGCAGCAGCCTACATCTGAGGACGGCGCAAAGGAACAAAACACCTCCTCGGCAAAAGCGTGGTAGGTACTCGGCAATCACATACTAAATCAAGCCAAACCGAAACGCTGCAGAATAACATAACCAAAAAAGGAGGCGCCTTAGATCGTCACTTTCCAGCAAAGGCTGGTACAAAGTGGCGGTCAAGGCTGCATGCAGTTAGACTAACACCTCGACCCTAAAGCAGCTTGGTGGCTCATGTACAGCCCATGGTGGTGGTACAGCATGGACGTCACCCCATCAAAGCGGAATCCGTCGCAGTTGTACTCCTGTGAATGCACAGGAAAACTCCAAGAAGGGACCCCCAGTCTCGTCTTATCCTTGGGTCTTTGCACCGGAAGTCTGGCGCCTCTTTGAAAATTCCAAGCTCAGCTTAAGCCTTAAAGTTTGTAATGCCCAATCCGCCCTGACACAAGACTTGAACCTGACTATAGGCAGAGTAGCTGGGCACACTCAGGGCAGTAACCCTAAAACCCTAGGCACTCCAAGATGTGGGTTCCAAATGTTGTGACTCCTCCAGTGGAGAAAGACCGCAATTCTGAGAGGACCCTGGTAAAGGGTTTTTGGTTTAGGGTTCAGGGATTCGCCAGTCATAGCTCATGCCCGCCAACATGCAGGACATAACCAAAAGCCCCGCAACTCAAACCTTATAAAACGTAGGACTCCCCATATCATATGTTCCACATCAACATGCTTCTATTCCATGCATTCCTATATGAGCCTTTCAAAAGCGCTACCCTGACCTCCGATCCCTAAACCCTGAAACCTAGCCCTCAACCCTAAATCCTGAATCCTGAACGCTATACCCTTAACCCCTAGCCCTAAACCCTGACCCCTACATCCTAAACCCTGAACCCTAGACCCTAAACCCTAAACCCCTCCTCGAGCCACCAACGGAGGTTGGACAGCAGATACCTGGTTAAAGACGCTGCGCCCAAAATGGGGAAAACCTTAGGAACCCTAGCGAGATGTGGCTCCTAGGCATATATAAGGATTCTATAGGGATTATACCCAAAGTGGGGGAGTTTCAGGAACCCTAGGTATATATGCGGATTCTAGTGATATACAGGAATTCTACAGGGATTATGGGGGGGCCCTTGTCCTTTCGATAGAGAATAGGAGAACCCAGGAATGGGCTTTACTACGTTAAGCTTGGATAAGTCCTGTACTGGTGATCTACAAGAGAATTCTGGATTCGGGACCTGTGCATTCTTTTAATCACACATGTAGGGATGTAAAGGTTTCTGTGAGGATGATGCAACGCCTAATAGGAAGCATGTGGCTTGAACGAAATGATAGCGGTATGCCCAAGGATCGTGACAGAAATTCACGCTTGCAAGCCGAAAGCATGCGGTCCGCCCTCAACCACAAGATCTTCTGGAATTCCTTGCCCCGGAAAAACCTTCAATTGCAGGCTGCAAAGAACTTGGATGGGCAGACAAGAGGCTAGTTCCCAAAAAATTAGGGCCCCAATTTAGTACCCCTAAATATTAGGTGCCAGAATATAGGCTATAACCAACAAGGGCCCATATTTTTGAGAACAACCCGAATAGTAGCTCCCACTTTCCTCTTCCATTATCCCTATATAACCCTTATAATAACCCCTGTAGGAGTCCCTATATAACCCCTATATTTTGAGAACAACCCATATCCAAGGGCCCATATTTTTGAGAACAACCCAAGAGTCTTCAAGGACTAGCTGACCGTAGGACCGGCAGCGAATAAGACGATGCAGGCTGAAGGTTGGCTTCCCAGACATATCAGTTATCCCAAAATAGACTTCTATATAACCCCAA